AACCTCTCTAAGTTCTCTCAGTCGCCAGCTTCTCCCTAGACTCTCTTTAACCTCTTTCTAGATTTTCTTTAGACTCTGGGACGTCACTAGATCATGGGTCTCTTCTATCTTTAGATTTTTCCTAGATTCACCACAGACTAGGATTATTCATAGCGTGCTTCCCCAAAACAATCCCTAGATTGTAGGTTCACCATAGACTAGGCTCTAAATCCCTAGATTCTTCATCGTATGCTCTCCCGACATAATCCCTAGATTGTAAGTTCACCATAGACTATTTAAGCTCTTAATAATCCCTAGATTGTTCATAGAGTGCTTAGGCTCTTCCGAAATAATCCCTAGATTGTCCATAAAGTACATAGGCTCTCTCTAAAGGTTTCCTACGTTGTGCATACAGTACTTAGGCCTAATTTATTCATAAATTTTCCCTAGGTTGGTAAATTATCTATAAACCCTTAATAAGTTCTCCCAAAGTTCTTTTTTAGTTTCTATAGAGGTCAATTAGCATCGCATTGACCGTGACCAAATTGAAAATAACATCGTCGGATCCCAATGCGTATCTCTGGGTCAACCGGTATGAAAAAGAAAACAAAAATAAAGTAGCGTTTTGATCACCCGGTATATAAGTGCTAATAGGTCGTAGCGAACGACTGAACAGTGCCAAATTTTAAAGATCACGTTTCCTCCTTGCTTCTTATGAACAACGTACCATTGTAATTTATAAAGATCCATTATTTATATCAAGCATTTCTGACTAATTTTATATATATATAGCCAGAAGATACAGTCTCTAAATATGTTGCATTTAAAAAATTCTATAGAGATGTTACGTTTCTGTTAACTGTTCTGATATTAATTGTGTTAAATAAGAATTTTAACAAATTTGTTGATGAAACAATTCTCTTTGACGCTTACTATGAAGAGAATTGTGAAGAAAATAAAATAGAAATTAACTATTGTCACTGATAGTCCTTCAGTCGATTTTTCTTGAAAAATAAACAAGGACTTCTAGCTCGAAATTGTTTCACGGGCAAACAAGTGGCTATTGTGTTCATAAATAACTTATCCAGATATAGATGCATTCGTTTCTACATCCACTTCAATTGTTTAAAATTTACTTCTTAGTAGTTGCAATTATTTTTAGAATATTTCATTTTTTAATGGGGAACAATTGTAACACTATTATTAAAAAATTGATATATGTGTTTTAAATATTTGACATTTTGTTGAAGTCAAATCGAAATTGAATCGAAGTGGAATATAAATCAAATTGAAGTCTGATGACTTGGAGAAATCGAATTGAAATTAAATTGAAATTGAATTGAAATTGAATTGAAATTGAATTGGAATTGAAATTGAATTGGAATTGAATTGAAATTGAATTGGAATTGGAATTGAATTGGAATTGAATTGGAATTGGAATTGAATTGAAAGCGAATCGAGATTTAATTGAAATCCAAATTGAATTCAATTCTAATGGAAAACTAGGAGAAATCCAATGGAAATTTAATTGCAATCGAATCGAAATTAAACTGTAATCGAATCGAAATCGAATGGAAATCGAATTGAAATCGAATCAAAATTGAATAGAAATCGAATTGAAATCGAATCAAAATCGAACCAAACTCAAATCAAAATCAAACCAAAATTGACAAAAAATCGAATCAAAATCACCCACAAATCCATTCTCCCCCAAACAAAACCAACAACCTAAAACTCTGATTCTTCCAATAAAAATATGAATCTATTTCAAGAATTCACAAGGTTCCCAACACTTTTTATTTTAAAATACCAACAGAACGCGTTCAATTTTTTCGGACACAAGGTAAATGCTGTATTTCATAAGATCCCGCACGAGCAATGACATTTTCACGACAAATATACATGGGGGCAGCCTTGAAGAAGGCCTCTCTTCAAGGCCCACTACATCGAATACTGCCAATGTCATTTTGGCTTGTCTCTTCTTAACACTCATCCTTAACACTCATATTTATTTCCTCCTCTTAATTATCAATGCGTTGACAGACATTTAAATAAACATTTAACCGAGCTATTTAAAAATTTTTATTTCTAAATTCCAACATTTCTAAATCTCTAGATCCCTGAATTTCAAAATTTCTAAATTTCTCAATTCCTAAATTCCTAAATTCCTAAATTCCTAAATCCCTAGATCCCTAGTTCCCCAAATCCCTAGAACCCCAAATCCCTAGATCCCTAAATTTCTAAATTTCTAAATTTCTAAATTTCTAAATTTCTAAATTTCTAAATTTCTAAATTTCTAAATTTCTAAATTTCTAAATTTCTAAATTTCTAAATTTCTAAATTTCTAAATTTCTAAATTTCTAAATTTCTAAATTTCTAAATTTCTAAATTTCTAAATTTCTAAATTTCTAAATTTCTAAATTTCTAAATTTCTAAATTTCTAAATTCCTAAATTCCTAAATTCATAAATCCCTAGATCTCTAGTTCCCCAAATCCCTAGAACCCCAAATCTCCGGAACCCCAAATCCCTAGAGCCCCAAATCCCTAGATCCCTAAATTTCTAAATTTCTAAATTTCTAAATTTCTAATCCCAAATCCCTAGATCCCCAAATCCCTAGATTCCCAAATCTCTAAATCCCCAAACCCCTAAAAATGATTTAACCAAGCTATTTAAAAATTTCGAACACGAAATAATAATTTGAGGAATTATTGCAACATTTGAGGAATTATTGTAAAATTATTGTAACATTTTTAAGAGACTGATTATTCAAAACGTACACACATATAAAATTGTTATTTAACAAATAGTTAACTGACATAACTGCTCCAGATTATTTGACCTATGTTTAAATTAAATAATGTTACATTAATTGTAACATTACATTACAATAATGTTACACAGAAACAAAATAACCAAAATAAAAAATTACTAAAATAAACCTTGAAGAACCTGTAGCCAATGATTCAACCCCCACATAAAAATAACGAAACGACTTTATCCTAATATGGTAATGTGTTATTAATAGTTCCTCTAACGCATTTGTGAACAAATTAAGAAGGTTTAATTAGAGGATGATTCACGATCAAATGTTCAGACGGTTGTTTACGATTGAATCACTGCCTTGTGATCGATGACCACAATAATATTTTTGTTTACCGTCTGAATACTTTCCCCGTTGTGAAACGAATAAATTATTTATCGATCACCGTCTAGGCGCCTGATCGGCCACAAACGATAAAAATTAGAACAACAACGGGTTTCGTGGTACATGGTATTTTATTTACTACGTCTATTTATTACTATTCCGCAGAGAATCTTTCGTAGAATTCGATTCTTAATTTAAACTCGATCATCGAACAATGTCAAACATCGAATCCGTCTCGATGAAGTGCGTCGGTGATTGACGTCATTGAAGTCTCGTGCGAATTTCGATACATATTTTTAGTGTTGAGTAGGAAAATTACTGAATAAATAGGGAAAAATAAGGTTAGGTTATTTATTAGGACGTTTAATTTATAAATTGGGGCATTTTAAGTTTGAAAATATTGATAAGTATTTTCGAGTTGCAAAAGTTAGATCAAAATAAATGGGTAGAAATCTTGATAGGTTTTTATAGGCTTCGGTATGCAAGATGGAAATAAATATCACTAGATTTTAGGATAACACAATTTCCGGTATTATCAGATTTATTACTAAATCTCTAGATTTTTGGATTTCTAGATTTCTAAATCCTTACATTACTAAATCCCTAGATACCCAAATCCCTAGATTCCTAAATTTCTAAATTCGAAGATTGCTAAATCCCTACATTTCAGAATTTCTGACTTCCTAAATTTCTAAATTCCAAAATCCCTAGATTCCTAAATTCCTAATTCCCTAGTTTCCTAATTCCCTAGATTTCTATATTTCTAAATTCCAAGATTGCTAAATCCCTAAATTTTCATATTTCAGAATTTTTGACTTTCAAAATTTCTAAATTTCTAAATTCCAAAATCCCTAGATTGCTAAATCCCTAATTCCCTAGTTTCCCAAATCCCTAATTCCCTAGATTCCTAAATTTCTGAATTCCAAGATTTCTAAATTCCTAAATTCATAAATTTCAGAATTTCTGACCTTCTAAATTTCTAAATTCCAAAATCCCTAGATTCCTAAATCCCTAATTCCCTAGTTTCATAAATCCTTAGATCACTAAATCCCTAGATTTCTAATTCCCTAGATTCCTATATTTCTAAATTCCAAGATTGCTAAATCCCTAAATTCCTAAATTTCAGAATTTCTGACCTTCTAAATTTCTGAATTCCAAAATTCCTAGATTCGTAAATCCTTAATTCCCTAGTTTCCTAAATTTCTAAATTTTAAGATTTCTAAATCCTCAGATCCCTGAATTTCTAAATTTCTAAATTTCTAAATTCTTAAATCCCTAGACCCCCGTATCCCTAGATCTCTAGATCCCTAAATCCCTAGAACCCCAAATCCCTAGAACCCCAAATCCCTAGATCCCCAAATCCCTAAATCTCTAAATTCCTAAATCCCTAAATTTTGTAATTTCTAAATTCCTAAATCCCTAAATCCCCAAATCCTTAGAACCCCAAATCCCTAGATTCCTAAATCCTCAGATTCCTAAATCCCTAGACTGTCTTACGCAACCCAAATTACAGCATTCGATTTTTAATAACAAATTCATAACTCGCCTCAAGTTCCAAAATAACAGTAACCCGATATTTCCCCCAAAAGTCCACCAAAATTCCCCCGCAAAACAATAAAAAATTCCCAAGAACCATAAAAGGGTACATGACGTCACACCGCATCCCTATCGAATCGATGCAAAACACCCACCGCGAAGAATCGTGGGCGTGCAAAGCCCGCGACCGTGAGGTTGAAAGAAGCGGGCGTAGTAATGAACCAAAGAATAATCCGAAGCAGAAGATGCCCGCTCGACCAATCGCAGTCCGTTGGCGGGGGTTGTGCCATAAATGTCGCGTGGCGAGTAACGGAAACCCGCCGACAGGTCGGCGCCACTGTACCGACGTCCGGTATACTAGTCCACATTTTTGGCGGCAGCCGCCCAGTCTAAGGTCCAATCCCCGAACCGAACGGTCATCCGAAATACTTAGGTAAAAAATTACGAAAAAAAAAAGGAGATAATTCGCAAAAACTACCGAACATTCAAGTTCGAAACTCTTCGGCCATTTCTGAGCGCGGGTTCGAACTGAGATTTTTAGACAATCGTGAGTGCGAGTTTTCGAGGACGTATCAAGAGGGAAGATCAGAGGATCCTTGTATCACGTTCGCTATTGTATTTTGACTGTGTGTGCGATGGTGTGATAATAATTGGACGCTGCTTATCCTTCGGGTATATTTAGCGAAGGAATTCGCTCTTCCATTAACCTAGACAGCTGCTCCCAATTTCGATCTACGTTTCTGCTGTCGCGAGTATTTTTAGGACTAATTCGCGCTACTAACCGCTCTAGATTGGAGAGAGCAGACCTCCTTTCACTTATATCGTGTACTGTGATGCACCTTAACACGTATCAAAATTATCAAGTATCATTTGCAACGATCTAAAATATCTAACATTTAAAAAATGAACTATCTAACATTTTCCTAAAATCTTCACTTGTATCGTGTACCGATCATCAATCACCTTCAGCTATGACATATTGAAATTATTGGGTATGGACCATTTGCAAGGATCTAAAGTACCTAACATTTTAAAGATGAACTATCTAACATTTTCCTAAAATCTTCACTTGTATCGTGTACCGATCATGAATCACCTTTGGCTATGACATATTGAAATTTTTGGGTATGGACCATTTGCAAGAACCTAAAGTACCTAACATTTTAAAGATGAACTATCTAACATTTTTCTAAACCCTTCACTTATATCGTGAACGGATTTTTGTGCGTTCCGGAGGTGGATTATTAAATTCAAGAGCTAGCTTTATCGCAGGGTAGGCAGCGAAAGTGAGATGGAAACGATCGAATAATTTTGGGCAATATTTTAAAATATTTTTTATTAACGTCATCTAATATTCTGAAGCTTGAAAATATTTTGAAATGGTATTTGTATGTTTAAATAATTTTGTATATGTTTTGTATAGAGAATGAGTAAATAGATGGTCATTTAAATATGACAAGATCGTTTCAACCTCATTAATAAAAATAATAAAAATTCCTTGTGAACTGTATCCAATATTTGTATAATAATAATATGTGCATGAAACTAGTACCAGTTTTATATAACCACTTCACCTGAATCCTAATAACAGTGTTTGTCGTGTGGCAAAACTGACATTATTTCTGCAATAAAGAAATTTAAGTGCGATTCAAGAAGTCATAATTGACCCAGTTTCCGGTATTCGAATGTCAGTATTATATGCAATGAAGGCTTAACCCTTTCAAGGATTAATCATTTCAAGATCCTTTTCTGGATCTGCTATTATGCTAAATATTTAGTCATTAAATACTATGGACTTAATTACAATGAATATTATATATACTATAGAAGTATCCATTTAATCAGGGTTAATTACAAGGTTACCATGGGAGAGTTCATTTGGAACAAAAATTGTTATCCATACATAATTATATTTCTCAAACAATAAATAAATTAAAAGCTCTACGTAGTGCCATAACACATGACTTAAATTATTTTGAAAGACCACATGCTTCATACAAGTCAAAAACAAAACAAAATTTTACCAACACACAGCATATACCTAACCTAACTAGCACACAGCATTCACCAACACACAGAAATAATTCACAGAAACATGTTAACTTATGCAATAATTAATTCCTTGCTTTACATTACAATAACAATATTGCCTTACACTGCTGTCCACACATGAGAATTATTAAAATACTCCAAACATATGTCTCATATTTTCACCACTTAACCTTAAAATTACAACCCCTCCATATGCAAAATATTTTCCACATATGAACAATGTCTCTCAAAATTACAACAATAATTGAATATAATACATATTCATAATTCATTTCTTTATACCATTTCTACATAATAATACAAAAAATCGAAGGGTTAGATGATGCAAAGAAGTGACTTTTAAAAACACTGTGACCGAAAGAGTATAGTTACATCATCGCTCTCGTAACTCTGCAGTATTATTAAACGTGGTCACGAGACAGCCCGCATGAAACGTAAAGCTAACTGTTTTTTCTTTCGAAAAGTTTCGATCGATTTATGAGAAACACGAAACATGGTATACTTCTAAAATGAAATTCTAATTTCGTGGAAGAGCTCGTTCGCAATAGTTGGCGCGACTCGCTTCTCGGTTTCGCTTTGATCGCATACCAATTCGAGGCAGATCGACGGCCTGCCTCTGCTCGAAAGCTTTCGACGATTTCATTGTCGACGGTGAATATAGGTTTCTACTAAAAAGATGTGGTTGGGAGGAAATTTGGAAATTTGGAGGAATTTGGGGATTTCAAGGTTTAGGGGGTTGAAGGTGTGACATTTCGAGGATCAGGAAATTTGATGATTTCGCGATTTAAAAATTTTGGGGTTTGAAGGTTTGAGAGTTTGGAAATTTGAAGATTTGAAAATTTAGGGGTTTGAAAATTTTGGAATTTGAAAATTGGGGAATTTTATGATTTAGGGGTTTGAAGGTTTGAGACTTTGGAAATTTGAAGATTTGAAAATTTAGGGGTTTGAAAATTTTTGAATTTTATGATTCAGGGGTTTGAAGGTTTGAGACTTTGGAAATTTGAAGATTTGAAAATTTAGGGGTTCGAAAATTTTGGAATTTTATGATTTAGGGGTTTGAAGGTTTAAGACTTTGGAAATTCGAAAATTTAATGATTTGAAGATTTTTAAATTTAGGGGTTTGAAAATTTTGGAATTTGAAAATTTGGGAATGTTATAATTTAAGGGTTTTAAGGTTTGAGACTTTGGAAATTTGCAAATTTAATGATTTGAAGATATTTAAATTTAGGGGTTTGAAGATTTGGAAATTTGATAATTTACGTTATTATTTAGGGGTTTGAAGATTTGAGACTTTGGAAATTTGAAAATTTAATGATTTGAAGATTTTTAAATTTAGGGGTTTGAAAATTTTGGAATTAAAAAATTTGGGAATTTTATAATTTAGGGGTTTGAAGGTTTGAGACTTTGGAAATTTGAAGATTTGAAAATTTAGGGGTTCGAAAATTTTGGAATTTTATGATTTAGGGGTTTGAAGGTTTAAGACTTTGGAAATTCGAAAATTTAATGATTTGAAGATTTTTAAATTTAGGGGTTTGAAAATTTAATTATTTGAAGATATTTAAATTTAAGGGTTTGAAAATTTTGGAATTTGAAAATTTGGGAATGTTATAATTTAAGGGTTTTAAGGTTTGAGACTTTGGAAATTTGAAAATTTAATGATTTGAAGATATTTAAATTTAGGGGTTTGAAGATTTGGAAATTTGATAATTTACGTGTTTGAAAATTTTTGACGTATGCTGTCGAGCCGGTGCCAATCACAATCAGGCGAATTGTTTATAATAATTGGCAGGGATTTGTTTGGCAGTTATATAACGCGACAGAAATAGTGAGGTGGCTTCGAGTGCCGCCAAGTCCGATGTAGTCTGTTATAGCCGCTCCCTTTTCTGTGGTTAAAACGCGAAACACTTTTTCGTCAGCGAACCAAGCGCCATCTCTTGTGATCTACATACCTCTGCTTACATCTCACATTATATATAAAATTGTGTATAAACAATTAATACTCTTAGACTGCTTTCAAGATTTTATTTCTTTATACACTAGTTCTTTAAACACAGCTTCCTTTCTTAGTATTAGAACGAAAAGTATAGGTGTAATAAGAACTGGGAGCTAGAAAAATTGTGAGAACAAGAAATTGATGAATGTTAAAAGGGAATTCAAAATGTTAAAAGGTAATTTGAAATATAAGTCAGAATGTTAATTAAAATTTAAACAATTAGCATTCTTTAGTTCCACAAATACAGAAAAGTGAAATTTTTATAGTGATAATATAGTACAAAGTTACGAATAGCTGAAGTGACACGGTCCAGATTACTCATTCTCTTAATATCAGAGAATACGTCACAAGTGCCAAGAGGCGCCGCTTGACAAGCTTAACTGCGCGTCTGACCGAATTAAGGCGTCACTACTTTCGGCCACATCCGACTAAATATAACGCCGCAAAAAGGCTAGCAGTGGTAAAACTTCGAATCAAAACAACTCTAATAAACTGATCTACGCTTTTCAATCTCTCTATGAAACTTCTTCATATAACATTTTAGTGGCAACAAAATATAATTTACTGAAACGAGAATATATTTCATGATTAATTTACTAAAATTATATATGGTCATTTATTAAAATAATATTGAGTACTGTCGTTTGTTTAGGGATATAATATTAACCATACACTTTATTGAGCAAAATAATACAAATTATTTTTGAAAAAATATTATGGACAGTACTTTGTTTATCAAGATAATATAAACTGTAATAAATTTTTTAAATAATATTACGTAGTGTAATTTAGTTACGAACTAGTATTAGGAACTACAATTTAGTGAGACAATATTATGAATTAATAACATAGAAGTATGTTAAAAAGTTAATAGACATGTCTGACCAGTGACTGATTCTCCTTAACATGTCTGACCAGTGGCTGGATCTCCTTAATAAGTCTGACCACTGCCTGGATCTCCTCAACATGTCTGAGCAGCGACTGTATCTCCTTGATATGTCTGACCAGTGACTGGATCTCCTTAATGAGTCTGATTAGTTATTGTACAATTCTACTTAACATGTCTGACCAGTGACGAGATCTCCTTAATATGTCTGACCAGTGACTGTATCTCCTTAATATGTCTGACCAGTGACTGGATCTCCTTAATAAGTCTGACTAGTTACTGACCACTTCTCCTTAACATGTCTGACCAGTGACTGGATCTCCTCGACGTGTCTGACCCATGACTGCATCTCCTCAATAAGTCTTGCTAGTTACTGTACAATTCTCCTTAACATGTCTGACCAGTGACTGGATCTTCTTAATATGTCTTACCAGTGACTGGATCTCCTCAACGTGTCTTACCAGTGACTGGATCTCCTCGACGTGTCTGACCCATGACTGTG